ACTATTCGGAATTTATCGGATAGAAAGCCCACAACATGTACTGCTCTAAAAAGAAAGATTCAAAGTTCCCCAAATTAGTCCTTTGCAACGTTTGGTCACATACATGAATTTTCCATTAATCTCCAGTATTATTTATGGTGATGACGGCTACATTTATATCCCACTTTTCCTCCAAGTTCAAGGAGGCATACATGGGTCTCTGCTCCTCATTTTATCCTCACAACAAGCCTGTGAGGCAGTTTACTACTGACAAATGTCTAGAGGACCTAGACACAAAAGCTTTCAAGGCAAATCCAGGAATTGGAAATCCTGAGAATATTCTGCTGAGATGACCTTGGATGTGTGGTCTGATGTGACAAATTCACCAGAAAGCTAAATGAAATTTCCTGCTTTTGTACATCATGAAAAAGAAAAGTAGACATACTAAAGTGAGCCACCTGGAATGCACTGAGGTGTGAGCCAGTTTCCTTAGGTGACTAGTATTCCAGAACAGCAGGACCATAACTGACAAAGCCTTGCATGGATCTTTAGCAATCAAAGCTCTCAAGACGAAGGCACACAAAGCTCAAGTTGGCAGAAAGGTTCAAATGGGAAGTCGTCAAAGAAAAATTCAGTGCAAAATGCAGGCTACAAGCTTGATGCATCGTGATTACACAATAAGCACTCATTAAATGCATTTTCAGTACCCAGTGACCTTGCAGAGTGTAACACAAATCTTTGCAGAATGGACCTGTTTTAAGTAAAATATGCTCCCTTACTTAGTATGGCCATCAAACTGTCGCAACGCTGCTCTCCCACTGGTATCAAAGAGTCGAATGCTGCCCTCTTCACTGCCAGCAACCAGCAACTTCCCATCATCTCGATACGTAGCACAGTATGCTACATCTTTGAAGCGAGAGAATGTTTTGATTGGTTCTTGAGAGTATCGACCGTAAATGTGGATCTAGAACAAAATGTAATGTGTACATGGTGAGCATGACATACAGACGCAACTGAAATACCAAGCTATCTCTTTTGCCCAATAGCAGTATTGTCGCTGGACTTCAGCCATTCATTCCATCTATAGTTAGCACAAGATCCTTCATGGATGGAGAGGGGGAGATTTGGTGCCTGTAGGCTCTGTGCACAGAGGTACATTGCTCTATGGAAATTGAGCATAAAGTGTCAAAAATGGATGACAGTAAGGGGCAGGGTTTTCCATCAATGCAATGACAGCCCTGAATATTTCATTCCCCACCCCCACCCCATTGGTCTGAATGGCAACCAGTTACTTACATGGGAGAAAGTAAAAGTGCAACGCTAAGTGGACTATTGGGTCTTGTGAACCACTTCCAGGAAATACATTTGATTTGATTTCAAACCATGCAAGCATCATTGTGATGTCAGGTGATTGACAAACAGGTGGTCCCACCTACCTGTCAGATTTGGCTTGCAAGGGATGGGGGAGAGATAACAAGCTGGTCCACCAGTCAAATCCAGTCCTCCACCCCTGCTCTAAGCCACAATTTACCATTACATCCAAACCAGGTCAGACAGAGATGATATTATCATCAAGAATTAAGGTAAAGGTAAAGGGACCCCTGACCATTAGGTCCAGTCGTAGCCGATTCTGGGGTTGCGGCGCTCATTTCACTTTATTGGCCGAGGGAGCTGGCGTACAGCTTCCGGGTCATGTGGCCATCATGACTAAGACGCTTCTGGAGAACCAGGACAGCGCATGGAAACACCGTTTACCTTCCCACCGGAGCAGTACCTATTTATCTACTTGCACTTTGACGTGCTTTCGAACTGCTAGGTTGGCAGGAGCAGGGACCGAGCAACGGGAGCTCACCCCGTGCTGGGGATTCAAACCACCAACCTTCTGATCAGCAAGTCCTAGGCTCTGTGGTTTAACCCGCAGCGCCACCCACATCCGTATCATCAAGAATTACAATCTATAAATAAACTTTTGCTGCTTAAGTAATAAGTTTTCCCCCATCCTTCCATTGCCAGAAATGCTTTTTTCCTTCTAGCATATGTTCCATCCCTTTTTAGTTTATTTTCTAAATAATGCATGTATCCCAATGCCCCAAACAATCAGGTGATAATTATCTGTATACAACAAAAATTTCAACAGGGCTTTATGGAGGCAAACAGGATTCTAAAGGCCCTTTGCAGATAAAGGTAGCACAGTCCTATGGTGTTATTTCCACAGCTGCAACACAAGCAGACAAAATAAGTGTGCAAGCAAACTTAGCAGAGCCCTATGTAATACAAGTACAAGAAGAGGCTGTGAAAACTGGACTATATTTTAAACCTTACCCTTGATGAAGCTGTGACAGCATAGTTATATGGAGGAACTGGAGAAAAGTCTATTTTGTTCACTGCACCAAACTCCTTTATCTGAATAGGAGCCTAAAAAAAATGGTAACATAATTAGCATTGTGTTCTTAAGACAGTTCCTTTAACAGGATATTTACAAAAGTGAGAGAGAAGAACATCAAAATGTTAAAATATTTATTAGATTACAAACTTTTAAAAACCATTCGAAAATGTACTAGGTTTTATTTGTTTTAGTGCTATAACTCCTATATGGAATTGCATGTACAGGATTTCATCTGATTATTTAATTCATGTACTCTTGATTCTTGCATAGTTGTTTCCCTGTTTCATTATAGCTGTTTTAAAAAAGTTTTAAATTTTTCTTTACACTCTAGTATCATAACAAAGCAGTATAATTGCAGCAGAGGTACATCTATTCAAGAAAACCATATATCATATTATCCTAATATAAGGAAGTACAGAACTCAAATGCAAGTTTCCATGCATTATCTTTCAATCTCCAAGTCAAATTAGTGAGATTGAAACAATGTATTATTACCTTGAAATTCTTCCAGTACGAAGTATCCTTTGTTACTTTCTCACCAAGCTTTGGAAAAGACTGAACTTTAACAGGTTTGTACTCAGCCATTTTATCTTAAGTACAGTAAAAGTTCTTCAAGTAGCAAAATATAATCTTCCAGCGTTGCAAATTTCATATGGCAAAGGTAGACCAGGCTTCTGAGGAGGAGAGAACAAGAGTACACAAAACACTGAAATCTATCTATAATACTAAGCAAACATGTACTGCAAATTTTAAAGCAATTCACAAACTATTCGTTACCCCTATGAACTAACCTAGTTTCCCTCATGTTGACTGACATGATACATTTTAATCCTCATCTAAAACAAGTATTTTGTTCCTCATTATACAGCTTCAATATTTGGCAGTTTTCTGTATCTAAAGCAGACTAGAATAGCTGTCCAAACCCTTCTAAAGGAACTCAGTACATATCAGTATTTTGCCTCAAAAACAAAACCTATATATCCTGAACTGTCTTAAGTTTCTCCAGGATCACAGGATCTTGTGCAAAGCAATCACAAACTGAACTGACATGAAGTCTAGGGAGTAAATGATCATAGGAGTATAGAAAGCTGCCGTATACTTAGTCAGACCACTGACATATCTAGCCAAGTACTGTCCACAGTAACTGGCATCAGCTCTTCCGGGTTTCAGACAGGGGACATTCCCAGCTCTACTTGAAGATGCCAGGGGTTGAAATCAAAAACCTCATGTTTCTATGCTCTACCACTGAGCTACAGCCCTTTGATAAAACTACAGAAAAGCAATAATTCAGAGCACTGCCATTTGCCTTTAAGGGTGGTGGAGAGCAAGCAAAGTCAACATTAGCTCAATCCAAACAAAACTCTCTGTCAATGTCAGCTACTAACACCATAGTTAATAAGCATGTTTAGGACTACAGCTGACAAAGAACTTGATGTACAAGACAGAACAACATTCCTGACTTCACAAACCAGGAATAGTCAAAGTGTTGGGATACTCCAGGTATTGCTGGACTTCAGCTTCAACAATTACAATTCAGCAAAGCCAAGAGAAGCTTTTGGAGTCATCCCCCCCCCCCAAAAAAAGGCAAGTGAGGTGGAGGTGGAGCAGAGAAAGAGAAAGAAAAGGAAACACATGATACAAGATTTTAAAGTTATGTATAGCGTGGAGAAAGTAAATAGAACATTTTCTGCCTCTTTCATAATATTAGGGTCTTAGGATCACCAGATGAAACTGATCACCTGATGAAATTGGATTGGAGGTTCAGAATAGACCAAATAAAAGTACTCCTTTATGTGCTGGAGATGGTCACTAGTTCAGAAAGCTATCAGTAGCAATGAGCCAGGATAGCTCAACAAAATGTTCACATTCAAAGGCAGTATTCCCTTAAATATCGAATACTAGGAAGAGACAACCTGTGGAGAGAGGCTGCTGCCATTAATCCCTAGCCTGTAGGATTCTCTGTCTTCGTTGAAAATAAGATACTGGACTAAATTTGGCTCTAGCAGGGTTCTCCTGAAGCTTTCCCTGAAAGGAAAGTCACACGCGCGTGTTTCCTGCGGGACAAGACCTCCAGCCTTTCAATCAAGGGACTAATCTTACCTCAGAATTTGAAGATTTCTTCCTCAACCCTTTAGAGTCACGTTGCCGCCTATGGAGGCCGCCATCACCGCGCTCAAGCTTCCGGATAGGATGCTTACGTCATGAGCATCGCGCCGCCCCTGCCGCCAACAACGGCGCGTTGCGTTCTACTCACGATCCCCGTCCTAGAGATAGGAAGAAAATAACACCACCTAAACTTCGGGTTTCTATCGGAAAGGGGCTGCCCGCGGGGAGCCGCACAAACATAACCCAGCGCAAGAGAGCCGCCTGACGGTGCCCGCATTTCTGTCCTATTCAGCTCATATCATCTCACCATCATTATAATTCTTCCTGAAACCGGAATTTTATTAGGCCTTCCTTTTCCTGCCCTTAGGGACGCGGGTGGCTCTTTGGTCTAACCACAGAGCCTATCGCTTGCCACCTTACCTTATCTCTATGTCGGGAAAGCGGAGGGAGGAGCCTTTTGTGGTGACGTATGACATCGGTCTCCTTCTCCTCCTTCCCCCCCCCCCGAACTTAAAGTGTACTCCGCGAGGCGGCTTGACTTTTTTCCTTCCGGGTCTAAGCGGAAGTGACGATATGGGCCGCAACAAACACAACAATAACAGCGCCGCGGTGGAAGATGTCAGTGAGGACCGACGAGAGACTAGGAAGGTAAAAGGGCGGAGAAGGGGAGCGGGTAGACTGGGAGTTGTGCAGACTGGAGCGCCAGTCTTGGGCTAGAGGGACCTGGGTTCAAATCCCCGCTTAGCCCTTCCCATCTGCACCAGCATCCCGTCTCCCACCCATGGCCAGTGGCAGCATCCGAGCGAGACTGAAGCGCCCTCGCCCGCAGTGACCCCCAGCAGCTGCTCTGCAGGAGCAAAAGCGCCTCTCTCATACTGCACGTAGGCTGTCCCCTGCATCGTAGTAACTGTAGCCATGGATTTATTGAATCCCTGTTTCGAAAGCAGTTGAAACTGATGGCCCCGCCATGAAGCAGCAAATTCCCTAAGTAAGCTCTGTGCTGTCTGAGGAAGCTCGAATAATAAAAAGCTGCCTTTTGCCAGATCCGATTCCATTCGTGCTGGCAGCCTCTCTCCACAGACCCGTGCAGGGATCTTCTTCAGCAGCTGCTCCTAGATCTTTTTTAACTGGAGTTGCCAGGGATTGGATACAAAGCGTGCGCTCTGCCAAACTCACTCACGCATTTGTTTCGGTTTTCTGTCCAAAGGCTAGGAGCATCCATAATCATTCCATTAAAATCACTGAATTATGCACAATAATGTTGAAGAAGCTTTAACAGTAGTTGGTGGTGAACTCCCACTTTCGGGACCTAATCAAGCCCTCCCCGTCCCCACACAGCAAATTTTTCTGGCCCTGCATGACCCCATTTGGTAGCAATGGTAAAAAGAAGTAAAGTATGCATAACACTGGGGGTGCAAATTGCCCCCTACCCAGTCATCAAAAATTGAAGGCAATGTGATTTAAAGTTTTATATGCAATACAAAAAAATGTTTATATCAACATTTGTGTGGCTGTTTGGGGTAAGTAGATCTGCATCTGCTGCTAGATCTGTAGGTGATTTGCAATAGATCAGCATGGAACTCTGATTCATAGTTGTTTAACAGTAGCAGCAACAAGATGACTCACCACCACTTAAATATATATTACTAAAATTAAGAGCACTTTTGTGCTGAAGAGTTGTGAACTCTCTTTTGTTCTGCTACTCAGAACAAATTGCTAGACTCTGAATTCTTTAATTATAAGAGTAAGTTTTTTACACCAAGTTCTGGTTAGTGGATCTCGGCCCATCCCTGTTCAACACAGAATAAATAATCACATCTGTTCAGAATGATGGACTTTATTGCATTTTCATTATATGTTTGTGGCATTATAGTCAATAGCATATTACTGTTTTATGTTCAATTGCAGATGGTCGTAACCCTTGGCTGTTGAGATTTTATTTTAATTTTTTCAAGAAAACTGAAGTAATAGCCATAAGACAATACATCGTATAACTGAGATTTGAATGATGGAATCATCTACAAATCTAGATGTTGGAGCCCAGTTAATTGTGGAAGACTGTTCTGGCAGCTATAGCCTGTCTCACATGCCAGATATTAAAGTGGAGCCTCACCTCGATTCCAGTGTTGAAGAAGGACCAGCTCAGAGTGTTGCCATGGGAATGAAATTCATTTTACCCAATAGGTTTGATATGAATGTGTGTTCTCGGTTTGTCAAATCATTGAATGAAGAAGACAGCAAAAACATTCAGGATCAAGTGAACTCTGACCTTGAAGTGGCATCTGTATTATTTAAAGGTTGTGATTTAAAACTTATCTTTAGCTTTAACTGTTACTGTTGGATAGATGGATAAACAGGAAAATGCTATATTGGCAAAAGAATGCATACTCACATATGAATATCTAACATTTTTCTTGTTCAGCAGGCATCTTCTGTATCAGCCTTTAACTGCCTGCTGAGAACTTTTCTATGCCACCAGGCTTATGACAGCAATTAATAAGAATACATTTTCCCATAATGATTAGTTGATGGCCTCTGATTTTATGTTATTATTATATATAAATATTATTGTACAGCACTTTGGGTTTCTATGATATAGTAGTATATAAATCCTTTTATAAATAAAGTAAATTTGAAGAAGCTATTCTGAACACTACTTTTTTCTTGCTTTCTTCATGTAGCTGAGTGCAATATCCATACTTCTCCTTCTCCTGGAATTCAAGTAAGACATGTCTACACCCCATCAACTACGAAGCACTTTTCTCCCATAAAGCAGTCAACCACATTAACTAACAAGCACAGGGGAAATGAAGTTTCTACAACCCCTTTGCTTGTAAACTGTAAGTGATTCTTTGTGGAATGGTAAATTTAAGTTTTCATTTTGGGATCCTCCATTGGGATTACTACAAGAAACTGGTATTTGCATTCACTTTTAGCCAGTCACCCAGTCATTTATTTATTTCTAAATTGATTAGGGGTAAGATCTCTTTAACTGAAAGCAGTGACTTTGTCATTTTGGGTTGCCAAGCTTTCTTTCAAAATAGAAAAGGGCTAGGCATGTTAGTATGCTGGAATAGAAAGGCAAAAGGCACCACACATAATGTTTTTGATATTCTGTTGCCTAAGGAACGTCAAGAAATTGTAAACCAATTCATCATTTGTACATTGAGCAAACCTGCATTATTTTTCATGCTAGTCATGTTGGGGGAAAAGACATGTAAGCCTTATCCTCACCCAATGAAAATTTTATTCGTGTACACTTCTGAAATTCCAAGTAAGGCATTGCTCATATACTTTCAAGACTTATCACTGTAGCCATAGGGGCTGTGTCTATCTCATTGAAAGCTGAAATTCTCAGCAAGCTGCTTTTTCTAACCCCGGTCCCACATTCTTGCCTCCTTTGGAATCAGGGTCTACACACAACCCTTCTTATTGGATGGTTGTGAAGGTAAATTAATTGTAAAGTAACTTTCTGTGCCAGAAATAGTAGCAGGCTGCATGGTTGTGTCAGCTATGTGACCATCCTCTCTGTGTTACTCTTCTCTAACAACATGCAGTCAATATTGTAGTCCTAAATCATGGCAGTATTGCACCACAAAAGTTGATATATTTCTACTGTTTTTGCAGCTCTTTCTGTTCACCAGCTGGCAGCTCAAGGAGAAATGCTGTATTTAGCTACACGCATAGAGCAAGGTGAGAATTTATTTTGGTCTTTTTTTCTGGTAAAAAATGATCAGCTGCTAGGTTGGGGTGGGTCCTGCAACTGGCCCTATTCACGTTTGTGCTTTATTTCATACATTTCTGTTCTGAATTTACTGTGGAAATGGTTCTGACATGTTTTTTGCCTCATAGATCATGATGTCAAAACTTATATATCAGCACTGCAGAAAATTATATATATAGAAAGGTTTTATGTTTTCTAGTCACTCTTCTTTAAAAAAAGATACATAGTGCAAACCTGTTTCTTTAGTGCTGTGATGCTCTGGTTATAACTCTTATCCAAGCTATCCTGTGATATTTGTTCTTTGAATTATGCAACGTTTATTGCTCATTGGCCAAACAGGCTAATGTTGAATTACGTAACAGGGCAAGGTGCATATTTCAGATAGTAGGTGTTTGCCCTGGCCCCTTATTGTACCAAGCCTTGTCTTCATTTTTAGGGCCTATGGCATCCAGAATTTGCTTCCAAAAGTGAGTGAAGCTGAACTCATTTGTTCCTTCTTACCCACTTCTTACAGTATTCACTCCATGGCATTGCTTACTTTGCATTTCCACCATAGCAGGGATCCACAAATTGTGTCTTGGCTTAGTAGTCAGCTGTTATTTTTGTTTGCAACCAATTCCGCTCCCCTGCAGGACTCAAAAGATCGGGAAAGGGAGTCTCTCACTTTAAACTGACCTTTGAAAAGGAGCAGAGGGCAGTATTCATTGCTTTTCTGCATCCCTCTTTATCCCAGCATAGTGAGTTGAGACCCAATCCCCCCAAATATTCATAATAACTTTATTCCAGCATTGCATGGAGACAACAGGAGTGAGGTGGTTGATCTGTATGTTTTGTTAAATAGAAAATGTAATCAACCATACGGACGAAGAAGGCTTTACCCCTCTGATGTGGGCTGCAGCTCATGGGCAGATAGCAGTGGTAGAATTTCTGCTTCAAAATGTGAGTGAAAATACGTTCCCCCCCCATGCATTTGTAGTGATAGTCAACAATTGTAGTGCTCTAAATCCATCAAGAACAACGCTTGTAGCCTCTGAAGGTTGTCTGAAGACATCTTGTGAAGCCTTACATAGATGGTAACAACGCTGCACTATCGTTTCAATCCCAGGGTGTAATTTTCTGTCTAGACCTGGTCAACACCATGTTTTAGCCATGTTACAAAAGATTCAGAGGAGAAACACCAATGCATGATTTATGCACAAAGTCTGAAGAAAAATCAGTCTGAGGGCTATTTTACTTAAAAAAGAAGTGTAGGCAGTTGGTCAGTTGAACAAATTGTCCATGGAACTTTTGGAATCTCCTCTTCCCCATATAAAGAAGTAAATGGCTGAGCTGAGTCCAGGGTGATTTCAGTACCTAGAATCTGGACAGTATATAATTGGACACATGGGGTTCTACTCATCAGGGTTTTTGTTAATCTAACCCATAACACATGTTAAACCACTGCTTTTTCTGTCAGGGTGCAGACCCACAGATCCTTGGAAAAGGGCGAGAGAGTGCACTATCACTGGCCTGCAGTAAAGGATACACAGACATTGTCAAGATGTTGCTCGACTGCGGAGTTGATGTAAATGAATATGACTGGGTAAGCCCTTTACTGGAGCTACTGTTCACATTACAAACTTTTGGGTAGTAAAAGAAGCCAAAATATATGGACCCCTGTTCATATACAGCTTGTTTGGGTCACTGAACTGTGCAAATGAATTCTGATATTATTATTATTTATTTTCATTTCTTTTTCTTTTTCAGAATGGTGGTACACCTTTGCTCTATGCTGTGCATGGGAACCATGTAAAATGTGTCAAAATACTCTTAGGTTAGTATTATGAAGGCAGTTACTAGTCAATAAGGGCTGTAAAAACTGCAGGATGTTAGCAAATCAATGATTTGTTTCCTGTTGTTTTAACTAGAGCATGGTGCTGATCCTACTATAGAGACAGACTCCGGATATAATTCCATGGATCTGGCTGTAGCCCTGGGCCATCGTAGTGGTGAGTATTCAAGCGCTTTAGGATTTACTTTTAAGGGTTGGTGCTCTTTTTTTGTATCAGCCGCTTCACCTTTTGGTGGTTCACAAAATGCACAGGCTTTTACTGTTGCTTCTGGAGAGGCCTTCTTTATCACCATTTATAGCAGTGGTAGTTTATGCAGAGCTGGGGGAAGACAGCTTAGTTCTGTGCATGCATTGCACTCTCTTCCCCCACCCCTTGATCATCTCACTGTTATCCTTTATGCTGTAGATTGATAGCTGCTTCTTTTGCTACCTAGAACTTGGTGGGGGCAGGATAGGACTAACAAATGAGCTTGCCTCTGTATGAAGAGGTGAAGTTCCATTTCTTGGTCATGCCAGAGCATCAACAGGGAACCAGAAGGGTCAGACTGAAATGTGGCCAATGTTCCGCAGGCCACATTCCAATGGAAGTTTTTGCCTTTCCTTAATGTGCTCCTTTTGGCAGTGATCAGATAACACCAATAGTGAATGGGGCTAAAAGCATTTTACATATTCACACACGCATACATGGATTACTATTCTGGATTACTACAAACTCTTTGCAATTTCCACTTTTTCACTATTTACATCTCCAAAATAGGATAGATCACCACTTAAGAGCTGAACACTAATCATGTCCCCCCCCCCCGCTGATTCAGTTCAACAGGTTATTGAGTCACACTTATTAACACTCCTTCAAAACATCAAAGAATAATGACATTTTCGTCATGAGACAAGACTTCGTATGCGAAGAAAAACTGGGTTTTAGGACTGATCAACATGAAAAAGACTTGATTTTTTAAAAAATCAGCACCGTGATCCCACCATTGTTGGAGGACGGCAGGTGGGGGAGACTCTCATTACTTTAGGCAGTCCTAGTTTGCCACCCAAACCAGGGATTTTGGCAGTGTCTGTTGGCCTGCACCTTTTAAGCAGTTATTGGTTGTGCAGATGGAAAAGTTAGCAGCACCAGAGCTGCAGTGTTGAGCATGGCCTGCCACCAGCAAGCCTTTCCCTTGCAGCAGTGCTGCTTTATCATACCAGAAAAAGACAGTGTACAAAATCACATGACGGAGACTGTTGTGTAACAAACTTCAGCTAAATTTTTGGGCAAGAGAGTGCTTGACGTTTGGATTCAAGAAAACTTTCTGAGGCTTTGCTCAGGCAACACTTCTCTCATTGGTAAGATTTTAACATGATTCTTGTCAAACCACATCTATCCTACTTTCAAATATTTCATGCAATATTGAATATTCTGTTTGACAAAGGAATTGTAGAGAATTTAACATTGTATAAAATAACATACCTCCTTATTCTTCATAATCTATTAAAAGCCTACTTGGAGCACTACATTAGTGCATATGCTACTGAAATGAGTCAGGCTGGTGCTAGGGAATGCAGCATATGTATTAAAATTTGCAGTTACGAACCGACTAGGTACTCTTAGGTGAGGGTAGAAAGGCTTTCTCCGATTGTACTCTACAATCAGCTTGTATATCAACCCACAGATGTAACTGGACTTCAATATACGTTACTTGTTTGCTGGTGAATGGCAGAGGAGGGTCTAAAGAGTTTCATCCCATTTGTACCCTGCTTCCTTTCTGTGCTGGCTCATGCTTAAATTCCACCCAAGTCATCTGAAAATAAATCCCCCAATTAGCTAGTTTACTTGGAGCCGAAAGTTGTTCTGTAAGTAGTGAAGTTCTTTCAGGGTTATACTTAAGAATATAAGTGAGTAAATTTCCTGTTTGGATGTTTTTATTTTATTTTATTTTAAAAATAAATATCGGCCAACAGCGAGAAATGTTTTTCAGTACTTTTCTCCAATATGCTGGATTTCTATGAACCAGTATTTTTTTTTTGACATGAGAGAGGTTTGAATCATGTCCCTTTAATTCTGAAATGGTTAGGTTCCATGAAACACCTGTGTTTTCTGAGCATATAGGGCAGATCTTAAAACTATGAGTGGAGAATGTAGTCTGGTACCTTCACACAAACAAGATAAACCTTTTAACAGGCTTTCTGAAAGGCTGAGAACCACAAACTTCGACATGATCCTCTGCTACAGGTCAAGACTTGTACCCAAAATGTAGACAAGTAAATGGTACTTGTCTTGCATTATGACTTTGTCATACCCAAAGAGCCAAGACGTTCAAATGGTCAATACTGTGAACTTGTGATTACTGAGAATTTTGCACAGATTACCATGAAATGTTGTATAAATGTAAATAAACCCTTCCACTTTCACCCAGTGTACCTAAAAGTTGTCTGAAACAGCAATGGGACTATCTTCAGCTCCTATGCTTGCCTAAATAAGGTTGAAATGTCTAAGAGTGAACTGTAAATGTATTTAAATGAAAGATAGGTAGTACAATGTGCTCAAAGCCTAAGAGCTAGAATAATAATTAAAACAAATATTTATTTCCAAGTAAAAGTGTTTCAGACTTAGTATAAGGCAGATTGTGAACAGGGCATCCTTTTGTGGTTACAACCGATGAAAACGAGCCTCCTACCATTTTTGCCGTATCTCTATCGCATATTACACGGAACCATTATTCTTCAGTTAAAGAACAAAAAAGCCCCTGTAGAAGTAACAATGTTTTATTATAAAGTTAAAAGCATTTAGCATCTGTTTAAAATGCATGTTTCCAGTAATGAAAATAAACATTTTTCTCTGAGGGGTAATTGTGCAATACTGAACATGCAATAGGTTCCCTGTTCTCAAGAATCTGATTAGCCAAAGCAGACTATTTAAATTCCTCCATTCCCCCCCCCCATGGACCTATGCAAGTGTACCCCTCTATAAATGATGTCTTTGATGCACTATGTATTAGGATGCGTCTGCCAAGTTTTTGCTCAAGCTGCTCAGCTAAACTCTTGTTTTGATCTTGTAAAGTTGTGTCTTAGGTGTTATTACCTATTTTGAGAGTTGCAAGTTCTTCATATAGTGCAAATAAACGGTTTTAAAATGAAATTGTTTACCTTGATTTAGCATGCTAAATGAAAAACACACATGGTTTTTCCCTCTGTAACTGTCAATGGTTGCATTTTACGCAACATTAGGCTGGGGGTGTCCCATGCATGTTTTATATAGCTTAAAGGTCAGATGAGTCCACCCCAGGGGTCATAATTTGGCCTATATGGCCATTTCCTCCCCCCCCCCCCATCATATCCTCCTGCCTCTACATCTGACTTAAACTGTGGGGCAGGTAAAGCTGCAACTGCAAAAGGAGCAACTGGGACCCCCTTAAGAGTTTACTCTGAATTGTTCCTTTGCAAGCAGGGCTTGCATTCAGTGCATTTTGCATTTGGTGGCAAATGCAAGCCCTGCCGTAACTGGCTGTTCTTGGGAGCTCTCTGTCAGTACTGAATTTATTTTTAAGGAAGAAATATGAGTGCACTTAAACATGCACATCTGATTCCTTTGAAACTGAAGCACCCACTGGGTTCTTCGTTTATTCCAGTAGGAAACAAATCCTGGGGCAGTTTAGGCTTATGTCTGAATAATCAGTGCTCATGCTGTTTTTCCCCAACCAGCCATGATGCAGAGATCAGAATAAACCATAGCTTCAACTCATGGCTTGTTTGGAGGGGAATAAAACTACAAGCACTGCTTTGGCTGCAACAGCTTGTTACTCTCCTGGAGAAAGGAGTATGGGTTTGAGAAGAACTAGACAGCAGCAAACAGCTCAGGCAAACTAATTAACCACTTAATACTGGGCATAGCCATGGCCAATATCAGCAGGGTAGGTTTTGCAGAATATTACTTAACTGGCAGTTATACCATTTTCACCTTTCCATTGACATTTTAATATGCTCTTGCTTGTTGAAGATAATTGACATGTACTGCTTTTCCATGGGATATTCTTCATGTGTTCATCCTTATGGTGTATGCAAGTCATTCAATTTATCCCTATAAGTGGCATGACTGTTATTTAAGACAGTACAGTGGTGCCCAGCAAGACGAACGCCTCGCAAGACGGAAAACCCGCTAGACGAAAGGGTTTTCTGTTTTGGAGGCGCTTCGCAAAACGAATTTCCCTATGGGCTTCCTTCGCAAGACGAAAGCCCATAGGGAAATCTCCGGGACAGTGGGGAAGCGCAGCGCGTCTTCCCCACTGTCCTTGGACCTCCTCCGAGGCTGGCGGCGGGGCGGAGGTCTCTCCGCCCCCCGCCAGGCTTCGGAAGGATGCTCCGAAGCCTGCGGCGGGGAGGAGGTCTCTCCGCCCCCCGCCAGGCTTCGGAAGGATGCTCCAAAGCCTGCAGCGGGGAGGAGGTCTCTCCGCCCCCCGCCAGGCTTCAGAAGGCTGTTCTGAATGTTGGCGGTGGGGAGGAAAAACCCTCCTCCCACCGCAAGCCCGGGAACAGAGGAGAAGCGCTGCGCGCCTTCCCCTCTGTTCCCGTATCTGTCCTGAAGGCTTGCGGTGGGGAGAAAAGCCCTTCTCCGCACCGCCAGCCTGGCAAGCGGTTTCCATAGGAACACATTAATTGATTTTCAATGCATTCCTATGGGAAACTGTGCTTCGCAAGACGAAAAACTCGCAAGAAGAAAAAACTTGTGGAACGAATTAATTTCGTCTTGCGAGGCACCACTGTATACAGATAGGATCATAGGCTGGTATATCATGGTGCAAGTCCATTAAGAGAAGGAATACATCAGAACATGGTTGAGAAGCAATTTTGACAAATCCCCCATATCACTACCTATTATTATTATTATTATTATTATTATTATTATTATTAGAATTTATATACCGCCCTATACTCAGGGCCTATATCTGGGCCTAGATCTATTGCCAAAGTTAGGAGATCCACTGAGGCGATTTAGGGATCTGGAGAAAATTGACACACACCCCCCCAAAAAAGCTCCCTTACCTATTATACACAATTGGATACCACCTTTTGTGTAAACTGCTTTAAAATGAAGGGAGCTGAATAAACAAAAAAATGTCCGTCCTCCATCTGATAAAGGGGGTTTTAGCACCAGGGTGTTGTTTTTTTTGTCCAAGTGCCACAGCCTGGCTAACTAGACCACAGTAACTTACTTGTTCTGCTGAAAAAAATCAAGATCAGTTTCTAAGGTACAGGAACCTAACTTGCATGGCACAGGTGCTCACTAGTAGCTCCTACTGTATGTATTTGCAGTTAAGACACAAGAGAAGTTATTAAATGTTTTTTTTCTATAAGGAGCAGTGAGTATTCTCCAGAGGCTCACAAAACCAGATTCCAGTTCTACCTTGCAGAAAAAGCAAAATGAATCTAACTCCATTTCTGTTTTAACAAGCCACCTGCTGCAAGAGCAGCAGTCACTTTACAGCAAGGCAAGCTACCCTGTGGTCCTCCAGATGGTGCTGGAGCAAACTGGCCCCCATCATCCCGAGCACTGGCTACACTGGCCAAGGCTGATGAAAGCAGGAGTCCAACAGCAGCAGAGGCCAGAGATTAGCCACCCTTCATTTCCAGCTACTACCTTGTTGATAACATTTAACTCAAACTTGACACTCAGGTGCTGCCTTTACGGTTTAAACAAGGGAAGGAGGAGCTGGAATAGGCAAGTGTTCATATAATCTGACACTGGCAGTTACATTTGCATTAAACTGCAAATAAAGTTTACTATTTATTTCCACACTCAAAGCAATGCAGCTCCCACTAATAGAATTAACAATATGTTGCCCATTTTTTAAAGTGACACAATTAAGTTTTCTAAGATTACACAATTGTTCTCTGCATGTGTGTACTGTAGAAGTCAACCTGAACAAATTATTTTGTTGTGACACAGAGCTTCTTGTGCACTTTGTGAACATTATTGTTGCTTCTGGTAAGGACAGATTATAGAGGTTAGACAGGGAACTCTTGTCATATGAATAAGAGCGTTCCTAAAGTAAATCAGAAAGGTAGGGTCCTGTGTCAATTAACTATTCTAAGCCAGTCTTCATGCCTGTAGCTAATGGAATGCTATCTGCCAGTCTATTGTCAGAACTATTAATGCTTTTACCTTTGACAATCTGGTTATGTTTCTGCCAGTGACCTGTATTTGATCTAGGCTAGATTTGGACCACTCTCCTTTATTTGCCTTCTTCTGACATTAAACATACTTCACTTTTGAGCTCCGCTTGTACTACATATGCTGGCATATGTATCCATCACTGAAAATTATACAAAGCAAAACAGAAATGGGGATAGAAGAACTTGGAATATTATGGTTATTCAGTAAATTAGTAACACTTTCTGATTAGGTTTAAGCCAAGGTGTTCAATTTCACATAAGAATTTTAAATAAATACAATCTTATCTATGTACAAAATACTACTAAAAGTATTTGCCTAAACATTTAGTCTTTATTAGCATTTTTATGTAGTACTTTTCAATTTTGTGTATTTTCAACCCAGCCATGAATAATTAAATGCTCCGTGCACTAGCAATAACTGAAGAGAGCTGCAATTTGAAGGAGTTTCCAATTAGAGATCTTAGACTTCTTAAGATCAGTACAAAAATGTTACAAATAAAAAGTCACAATATAAAACAGCAGCTCCATGTAATGTTCAAGTTTAACTCAAAGTGACAGTTCAGTTTGCTTCATTCTTTGATGCCTCATCAAAGTTCTCCACAAGATCTGAAAAGGAGAGTTAACAACAGTCAGGTTTTTAACATGCAAAGAATCAGCACTGTGATTTTCAAGTCTTTCATCCTAAAATCCAGAGTTTGCTGAATTATAAACAAGTTATCTGCCACAGAACATTAAGCATTAAAGCCTACTGGACAAGAACCCAACTATACCTATCTGTAACCTTCCAGTTATTTTCTGCAATCTCTTCATTACTTTGTTCATTCCTCACACTCATTACTTTTGTAAGAAAATAAATGAATAGTTTTTACCTGGAACCTCATCGTCATCTTCCTCACCAGTAGCAAGAGGTGCTTTTCCATCCACAGCTGTAATCACAAGCAGATTGACACAAATGAGACATTTCCAGACCAGGCTTTTCCAAAACTAGCCAAATTTGCAGCAAAACACAGTAACTGATTACAACCCTGTGCCCACTCAGCATGACTTATTTCTAATTATCTTGGCTTCTACTGCATGTGCTTCATCCCCAAGTACCCATTCTAGAATATCGTGCTCATCAACCACTCCCTTCCACAGTAGTCCACAGCCTTTGTTGTTTGCTAGAATACAGCCTAAGCAGAGGACCCCAAAAAGCTTTCTGACAAAGCAGAAACAAGCAGTCAAATTTCAGTCATGAAGAGGTTCCTTCAAGCAAGAGGCGGCATTAAGTCCCTTATCCATCCCTCTGAGAACTCATTCTCATATTCAGGGAAGTAACAAATCAAATGTTTTTGAAGAATAGCCACTTCAATCTAAGATTCTTTGAAGCACAGAATGAAGAGTACCCCATGCACCATTTGTTTCTAAATATAACAGCTGAAAATATATTTTGCTTAAACATGACCTGTCCTAGCTACATGCACATATAGGTACTAATTTGTCAATTTAGCCATGGTTAAGCTTCTCAGTACTTGTTCAGGTGTTTCCCTATGGGACTGGCAGAAAACAGTTTTTTCCTACCCACCCCAAGCAAGTGGGATTTTCCTCTAATGCTAGAAAATAAAACCCTTTCAATTGAGGAGGGATCCACTCCATGGTACAATCCTCTGTGGAAGGTTATATAAAGGACAACATCTGGACAGTCTCTATTTCATAAACTTCAGATAAGCTAATGTGAGAACTGCATTTCCCAAACTTGGGTCTCCAGCTGGTTTTGGATGACAATTCCAATCACCCTTAACCACTGGTCCTGCTAGCTAGGGGTGATGGGAGTTGTAGTCCAAAAACAGCTGAAGACCCAAATTTGGGAAACACTTCTTTACACCAATAATATCCTTCTTAGTATAATTCAGGGCTATGACTCTATGACTAAGCAGCTTTGATATCATGTCTTGTTTCTGAAAAGCAACTTGCTGTCCCAACCACCAC